TATCCTTGTTGTAAGCGTTCGCATTTTTAACTTCATTCTATTTTTTCTGGTACATGGGTCTTTTGGAATTAGACCCCTCACTTGATTCAATTTTTCCACTTTTCATGACATTTTCAATGAGTTCTCCAGAAATGACCAGATCTGTAAAATTTCTGGTTGCGTTCCCAATTAAATGGCTTAAATAGGGAGCCTTTAAAGTGTGGATGAACATCACTGTGGCTTCTTTTTCTGATAAAGGTGGCTGAACTTGGGCCACTGTGTCACGCCATCTCTGGGCGTACTGTCTGAATGTTTAATTTTTTTTTCTCCAGATTTTGAGAGTCCATCTATCAGGGACCATATCTGTCACGTGGTGGTACTGCTCTAGGAATGCTTTTGCTAGATCATTCCATGATCTATTGTGGGCTTTGGTCAGTTGAGTATACCACTTTAAAGCTGGTCTTGTCAAACTATCTTGAAAGCAATGAATTAACAATTTCTCGTCTTTCACATGTTCTGCCATTCTGCGACAAAACATATTAATATGTGACGAAGGGCATGTAGTACCGTCATATCTTTCAAATTCATGAACTTTGAACTTGATGGGGAGGATTAGATCTGGAACCAAACTCAACTCGCTAGTGTCAAACCCATAGAATGATTCATTTATTTATATGGATTTCATTCTTTCCTCCAAACTCTTGATATATCTGGTCAATTCTTCATTGGCTTTTTCTTTCTCATCAACTCATTCAGATCGGGTATTAGATGCTCAGCATTAAATTCACCTATCTTCATATATGACATAAGTGGATTTTTGCTTGAAGATGTGGGATCCACTTGTTGATTTTCATTAGGTTTGGTCTCTTGCAATGCCGATATATGAGCATGGATTTGCACAGGTGTGGTACCAGAATGATAAACCGGTTCTGGCATTAAACCTAAAAGATATATAGGTTCTTGGTCAAAAGATAAAGGATTTTCATGAATTTTTCCAATGGTAGCTTGCTTCTTGAGCATATCCTCTATTTTCTGCATCATACTATCTTGTGAGTTTGCAATGTGGCTTCAATTTTTTCTAACTTCATTCTTATTTCTGCTTGTTCTTTATTATGTTGTTCCTCAATACGTTGTATTTTATCCTCCATGATTTTAGTCACTTTTCTAGTACCGTAGTGGTGTTGAATTTCTTGTTTGGCTAGGATAACTGCGATTGAAATTTTTTTATTATTTTTTGAATTTTACTTAATGAATGTTTCTCTTAATGTAAAAATAAAAATTATACATAAAGAAAATAATGCAATAAATAATGAATGTATGCAAAAGGTACTGATCCCAAAAAGTTAACTGTCATAGAACAACTTCCATCGGCATACAAAAGTTTTTATATAATAGTTCATAACTACAGATACGACATAGTTTTCCTATTAAGCTCTATGATTTCCTTCATCAGCCATGACATCTTCTTTCCATACTTAGAAACTGGATCAACGTGATGCTCAATAATCTTTGCTTCAGCAGCTAACTCCCCAACATATCAGGCAACTTCGCTCATTGGTACCATGGCCTCGAATACCATACTGCCTCTTTCTTTATTTCTTTCTTCAAAGAAATCAGTCATTTTTGCCATTGTTCATTAGCTTCCTCGAGAGTTTGCTCTAACTCAGTGATTCTTACTTGACAAATATGCAAAGTACTTTCAAGATCTCGGATTCATCTTCGTAGTGAATCGTTCTCCTCATAACTCTCTTTAAGATCACTAACTCCTAGACGAACCTTCTCTTGGAATAATGATTCTTCAAGTTGCAATATGTAAGCTTTAAACTCTGTGTTTTTTTTTCTACACTGATCCAAATCCTCTTCAAGTTTTGTTCGTGTTTCTTGTGTTCTTTGACTAGTTTTCTGGATTTGCACATTCTTGTTTCTATATCGTTGCATCCAAGTGCTAGCCACTTCTTGCTCTACTTCAAGTCTGGTGTTGAAATTCTTCCTCTCCAACTTCCATCTTTCCTTTTCAACATCGAACTCTTCAATACTTTGGCCCCTGACTTCAAGTTCGGCAATCAGATTATTCATTTCAGATTCAAATCCCTTGAACATGGTGTTTTTCTCATCCTCAAATCTCTCAAACATACCGTTCTTCATCTATTCTAATCCTTTAGCTTGATCTCTTTCTTATGCATTTCATTCATAATCTCGCGATTTTCATCTTTGTGCTTTATAATTTGCTCCCTTTTTTCAACCTCGAGATCTTCCATTTTCTGTTTCCTTTCTCAATGCTTTTAAGTAAACGGCTTTTTTTCCTTTCAAATCTTCGACTCGACATTTTTCAATATTCAACTCTTTGGTCATCTGTGTTGTTGCTCTGCTTGATCTTGATGCTCTTCGGGATTTTTGCAGCTCATGGTAATTCTTTTTTAACATTTTGAACTCACTATCTACTTTTTCTTTGTTTTCCCTCAGCATTGCACATTGTGCGGAATGAAAGTCAACATCGACGCCCAACATAGCTTTATCTTATCGTATTTGTTCCAACTCTTTCGACCAACCCTCTCTTTCTGCTTCAAACTCAGCTTTTAGGATTTCTATCTCTGATGGGACTATCCGAATGCGATCTTCCGTAAAAATGTCCTCATTTTGGTCTAGTAGAGGAATATTTTCATTTTTCCTAACAGACCTCCATTCCTTATAATCAGGGGTTAATATTACTTTTGCTGCTTTGGCTCGAATAAAGAAAGTTATTTTCCAAGCTTTAACGACATCCACGATGTTTCTTTTGTAATTTTTGCTATGAAATGCAAACTCAGACGAATGTAACCCAACAGTAACAGGAACAAAATGACGACCCTCGTACTGCCTTATAGCTAGAAGTGGTGCATATCCAATTCCTCCCCATAAACCAAGCAGCATTACCCAGTTGTAGTCACCACATTTGTAAAAGAACTCCCTTTGTACTTGCCACGGGGCACGCCAAACGATGTCATTGCTTTGCAAATTTCGAAGGACATTTATCCACATGGCTTTTGTGACTTCTTTCGGTAATTCTTGCTCCAGAAATTCTTTCAACGGTGAGTAATCCGTACTAAAGTGACGGTATGAAACCTTTTATGTCCTCCAGAAATGGCTACGGATCCATACATATAATAATTGTGCACATCCAAAAAATCATCCACCTCCCAGTCTTCTATAAATGCTTAATGATCAAAAGGTTTCTGCTAGAATTGCAGAAGCATGATTGACCCTTTTTTATAACTGCTCAAATAAATCTACTACTGCAGCCTCAATGTATCCCAATGCTTTCGAGAAGATGACTATACCATATATACCTAGAGCAAAGAGATCAAATCGTACTTTATCATCTGGATGACTCTGAATGATTTCTTTTATGTTGGTCCAAGAAATGCTTTCGCCCTCGCCCTTTTGCTTTGTATGGACCACTACTCATTCCTCTCGTACTCCTGCAATCTTCACTAATTTAACTCAGAAAGGTTGAGTTTTGATTGACCTTGAATAAATTCAATTCTCCAAAACCCTTTCTATATGTAGCAAAGTTGTATACTCTTCAATAGTAGGAACCAAGTCCTCTTTATTGAAAGTGAAACAATTATACCCTGGATTCTAGAATTGAATCAGGGCTCGAAGTAATTCATCATCAACTTCGACATAGAGCAAATATGGGATATCCCCGTAACACTGATAGAACTACAGCTTTTTGTTTGAGTCCCAACTCTCCCAAAATGCCTCGCAGATCTTGAATATCATTTCTTTTTAGAGAAACTGGAGCATAACTTGCTAACTCTGGTACATAATCATCCTGCAAATTATCTCCCCCTGTCTTTGTAATTCTTCAGACCACTGTCTTACTTCTGAGTTTGGAACTATTTGATTTGAACACTTTTTATCCATAGATGAAGGTTTTCCAATGAGACGATTAACTCGAAGATCAATACCTTTAATCATGTATGATGCCATGCAGACAACAAAAATAAAAGAAAAACATAAAAAAATGAATTAGTTCAAATAAGGAAAAATTTAATTTAATGTTTACCCAAATATTTTTATTTAAACATGCTTTCTACATAACATACTTAAATAATACTATAATCTAACTTCACATGCAATTTATTTAGCAAAGAAAGAAATAAAGAAAGAAATGCAAAAGTTATTTATCTTTTGTGTATACCTATTTTAAACAAAATTTCGTCATGGTTTCAGATCGGAAGAGTTTCTAAGGTTTACTATATACAGAGTTTTAGTTCTAAGAGTAAAGGTACCCAAATTGTCCTTGTTGATACCCCTTGGGTTGTCAAACCCTCAATCTTAGTCCATTACAGACTTAAGTGGATCGAGTTCAATTCGAGGGGACACATTTCTCTATGCCTGACACGGAGAATAAATTCTCACGAAGATAAGAGCATATGAACCCCAAAAGCTACTTGCTAGGTCTGCATAAAGAATGAATTCTCACTAAGACGTCACTTTCACTCCCACTTAAAAAAGACAAGCTTGATTATAAAACTTATGTTATGCAATGCAAGTGTTGTGTGTGAGGAGAAATATTCAAACCTTTTGACAAACAAATAAAAAGGAAATTTAATATTTGAAAATAAAAAAAACATTAATAAAGAATAATATAAAAATATTATGAAAACCATAAGTAATAAAAAATTTGGAAGAAAAGAATTATAAATTAAATAATATTTTTTTAAATTTCTAATTGATAGAGACAATTTATATTTGATTTTAAAGCTTGACCATTCCCCAGCGGGGTCGCCAAGGTGTGAAAAATAGACATAGTAAAATAATAGCCACATAAACGAAACGAGATGACATCAGGAGAAGCTACGTTAATAAATTGATATTGCGGAAATGTGAACGTAAAATAAAAGTCGAAGACAAGTTCATAAAACGTGCTACACTTAATCTGTGAAAATAGTGATACCAACCAAACGCATCAAAGTAAGCATAAACAACATCATGGATATGAAGATTTTCCAAAGTTTGGGTCGGAAAAAACTTACAGATGCGGAAGGCTCGATGGTGTAATGAATCGAAGCGAACCAATTGATCATTCTCAAAGTGCAAGTAGCCCTTCAATCGTTCCTCGACAGGAACCGCATAAGACCGACCATGTCGTTTGCGCTCGAGATTTTTTAGAGCCTGTGGTGGACTACCAGGATGTGCTAGAAATTCATTTTCACTCGATGCATGAAATGGAGAGAAAGGCTGTTTGATATTAAAATGTGGAGATGGATCATCATCGAGTTCTCCCGGGAAAATCCCAACAGAGAAATCCTATGTAAAACCAAGCACCTCGGCTGAGAGGAAAAAGACGATGCCACAGTCGGCATGGAGTGAAACGATGGAGTCGATGACCGTAAGGGTGATGAACGACGAGCATAGCTTGGTTCGGCGATTTCGGGTCAACGCAAACTATGGTTGTCAGAGGGAAGAGAAATGATCGGTGTGTGAACAGGTTTGGGTGCAGCGGGTGGAGGCACTTGGGCTTGCTGTTGACGCCCACCATGATGAGAAAGAGGCGTCTGGGTCAATTTTGAATCGCTCGGGACTTGCAAGAACATCAAGGTAACAAATCGGTGTCGTTTTTCGAGAACTATAAGTGGAACAATTGAATCATTATTGGCTTGGTTTCTTGTTCGAACCATCATGAAGAGAGGAGAGTGATGCTTCAAGGGATTGATGGAAAAGGGATGATAGTGCTAGTAATCGGTGGCGGTGTAAGTGGTGGAGGGCGACAGCCGTGAGTGACAGAAGAAACAAAAAGATGGATAAAAGAAAAGAAGGGATTTGGGACTTTAATTTACATGGGGTGTTAAGAAATAAAGAATTTTGGAAAGGTATTAAAACTTAAAAGGATAAGAAAGATAGAAAGTGAAGAGTTTGGGAAAATGTGGGATGTGATGTGTGGGGCCGAAAAAATTTAAAAGGGAAAGGGATTTACCAGTCAAATGTTGGGGATAAAGGGGTTTTTGTTTCAATTTGGGCAGCAAAGGTGATAAAATTGGGTGGGATTTGCTAAAATGCACCCCCTTTATGGGTTGTGCTAGCATGCGTTGTTTAATGAAATGACGCACTCCTCATCTTTTCTCTTTTTTCGAGTTATGACTACTGGGGGTTTGAAAAATGGTTTGATTCGATTGAAAATACCGCTTTTGAGTCTGATTAAGTCTAAATAAATTCACCAGGTCACCTGAAAAATTAAAACAAAAGTTAACGTGAGTAAAAAAACTTAATAAATTAAAAAAAAATCAAGAAAACTAAAGAAACGAAAATTAAAAATGGGTTGACTCCCATAAAGTGCTTTGTTTAACGTTGTTGAGCTCGACCACCTGACCCAGATTTTAGGTGTTTCCAAACTGATTTATTCAATTAATCCAACGAAACGTTCTCATAAAATGGTTTTAGTCTCTAGCCATTGACTTTAAATCGAGCACCCGAGCTATCTTCGACTTCTACCGCACCATGAGGAAAACGTGAGTTATCGTCAGAGGTCTAAGCCACTTCGATCTAAGTTTACCTACAAAATTTTAAAATTAGAATTAAAGCGTAGAACCTTTTATTCGATAGAAAAAGATTTAAAGGAGATTCTACGATTGTGGAACTCATTTGTTTTTTCTTTGAATATCTGAGAGCTATCACAAACATTTCTATTGATTTCCCCAAGCTCTTGGATGTGCAATTTGTATGTCTGGCAATCACATCAATTTCCATATTACATTGTTTGATAGCCCAAAGTCTAATTCGACCAATAAATGGTACGGTTTCTCGAAAAAAAAAGGTATGGTGACACTGTGATGGTGCCCTTATATGCAGTTCGGTATGCCCATAAGGCGTCGACTAAGTTCAAACTCCAATCCTTGAGATCCAGCTTGACTATCTTTACAAGAATTGCCTTAATCTCCCGATTTGAAACTTTCGCTTGTCCGTTTGTTTGTGGATGATATGTTGTTGCAATTCTTTGAATCACACCATATTTCTTCATTAACGCCTCAATCACTCGATTAATGAAATGAATTCCTCTATCCCGTATGATCGCCTTCGTAGTACTAAACCTAGAAAAAAATAAAATTCTTAAGGAAGTTAGTAGTTGTTTTAGCATCATTGTTTCGGGTAGCCTTAGCCTCTACCCATTTAGAGACGTAATCAACCGCAAGAATAATGTATGAATTGCCGAAAGAAGAAGTGAAGGGATCCATGTAGTCGATTCCCCAAACGTCAAAGATCTCACAAATATGGATTGGATTGAGAGACATTTCGCTCCTTCGGCTTAGATTGTCGACACGCTGACATCTTTCACAAGCTTTGGAAAATGCATAAGTATCACAGAAAAGGTTAGGCCAAAAGAATTTGCATTCAAGAGTTTTGTACGCAATTCACTTGGGTCCAAATTGACCATCACAAGAGTATGAATGAAAAATATTAATAATGGAACTTACCTTGCTTTCAGCGATGCATCATCGAATTATTTGATATGAGCAGTGCTTCCAGAGATACGGGCCATCCCAAATATAAAACTGGGATTCCTGTTTAATTTCGAGTCTTGGTAAATCAATAGGTAACTTACCCATGGCTAAATAATTCACTATGTCCACGAACCAAAGGGCTAATTTTTGTGCCAACATCAAGCTTTCCTCCATGAATTTTTCTTGGATCGATAGTTTGATAGTGGAGATCGAAAGTCGTCTTAGACGATTGGCCACCAAATTTCCGTTCCCCTTTTTGTCATTGATTTCCATATTAAATTATTGAAGAAGGAGAATCCAACGAATTAACCTTGGCTTCACTTTATTTTTGTTCATCTTGGACTTTAATGTTGCATGATCAGAGAAAGCAAAGATTCTAATACCAAGAAAATATTATCTCAATTTCTCAAATGTAAAAACAATAGCAAATAATTCTTTTTCTGTAGTTGAATAATTGCGTTGTGCCTAATCTAAAGTTCGTGATGTGTAGGCAATGACATGAGGTTCTTTGCCAATTCTTTACCCGATAACAGCTCTAACTCTTAAATCTGAAGCATCGCACATGATCTCGAGTGTCTCCTGCATAAAAATTAAATAAGCAACCTTAATGGTAGAAAAAATATTAGTTTTCTTCAATGTCTTGAGCTCGAATAATAAAATCTCCAGGACGAATATGTATAGGAAATTCTATACATGAAAATTAAAAAAATACGGATTAAAGCTGTCATGCAAAACTTAGAAAACTTTGATTATGAATAAAGTTGGACGAAATTAGAAAGTCATGAAAGTGGAGACCAAACAGTGATAAGGGATTTTTTGTGCTGTCTGTGACATTCCGAGTCTATAGTCAAATATTTGGTTGTTGGTACAAGGAAAGCATGGTTGCCGTTACGGATGGATACGGGAATCGAAATATATTTTCGACCCGATTTGATTTTATTTGATCAGATTCTTTTTAAAAAAGAATTGATTTGGATTGTGCTCAGATTTAGGATAAAAATATCATATCTGACTCGATAAAAATGTAATTATACCTTATATATTTAGGTTAAATATAATAAACATCTCTTTATTTTATTTTTTTCAATTAAATCCTTATTTTTTATTGAATAAACGTAATGTTTTTTTTAAATATATTATTTTGGATCGTGTTGAATTGAATTCAAGTTTTATATCAAAAAAACGGGTCGAGTTCATAATTTTTAAATTGAATAAAGGATATATAATTTCCGAATGGATTTAACTTGACTCAACCCGATCCATGTCCATCCCTAATTTTCGATGGGTCACAATTATAGAGTTAATCATGTTAGGTAATAATAGGGTCGGACCATGCGGGCAGAGTGTTTACATCTTTAATCAAAATAGGGTACATGCAATAGTGGACTTAGATGGGTTTCAACAATCCAATAATGTCAAACAGACACGGGACTTTTGGGTCTAAATAATGTTTGAAAGCCCAATAGTATTTTGTCTTTAACCATATGAGTAGTTTAAGGGCCAAATTGGCCCATTAGGGCAACAAGCTAAATAATTTAACCCATTAGGGCACTCAAACATTTAATTTGGGATTTACGGAAAATTAAACAGTGCCCGTGGAATTTATCACACAGACGTGACGAGTTTCATGGGATATAATTTTTTTAATGGATCCTGTTAGGTGGGTCCCACATCTGGATTAAATAAATTTCTTGAGGGACTCGTCACATCGGCGTAAGGAGTCCCTATAAAATTATTTTTTATTTGTATTTTTTAAAAGAAAATTAAAAAAATAATATTTTATTCCCACGGAACTCGTCACGCCGGAGTGATGAGTTCCAACGAGTATAATTTTTCAAATTTTTGACCGTTTGATTGACCGTTATTAAACGTTCGAATTTTGTTAAAATTTTCAATGGAACTCGTCACACCGGCGTGACGAGTTCCAACGGTGGAAAATATGTCTTCCCTTTAAGTTGTGCACATCATATTCAATCTCTTACTTTATACACTACTTTGATCTTCAATCTTCTACGCAAAAAAACTCATTTCATCTAACCAAAAACATTTCAAACAATGAGCAACAAATTATTCACAGTTATCCATTATAATGGTGAAATTCTACAAATTGATGTTGGTGTTGTGTTTAAGTCATACAGGTCGATCAATATGATGTTCCCTGTAGATGTATCGCACCGACAAATAAAGCAAAAAATTGAGAGAAAAGTTGGAACTTATGTTTTATGTTTAAGTTAGTAGTACCTGATCTCCTCAAATCCAATGACTTATGGAAAAGTTTAGCTTGATGATGATGACGATGTTGCTGTTATGGTTGGAATTCATCAATCATCAGATAATAATATGGTGGAGATGTACGTCGAAACGGCAAATGCAACTGATATTTCGACGTCATCAGTACCAGCTCAAAGAACAGAAGAAGCCTGACCCTCATAACCACATGGAAGTTATGATGATGAGAACCTTGTTGGACTTTTCGCTGAAAGCCTTGTTGAGGAGGATATATGGGAGACAGCTGTTTCACGATGTAAAGGATTGCAGAATGCTCCAAATGTTTGGGCAAGGACAGAAATCGAACCTGAATTCAATCATCGAGATTTGGCTCGGTATCATCATGCAGTTGCAATGCATGACATTAACTACGATGCTATGTGGAATCCTGAAATATTTTGATATGTCAGAGTTATGTGCTACCTACTGGGGTTCTTCAGCGAGCAATCATCTGAGTTGGCTATTGGGTCTCAGTTTGAAACAAAAAAAGGCACAACTAGCAATCAAAGAGTACTGTATCAAAGCTCATCTTCAATTCTATGTCGAGGAGTTGGATCAAAAAACTTATTTGTAAGGTGTATACACCATGATGTTGGCTGTAAATGGAGGATACGAGTATCATACCTACAACGGAATATGTTGTGGGAAGTCACAAGGTTCAATGCAGAGCACGCATGTACAATGACCTCCTTGACACAAGACCACAGACATTTAGATTCGGATGTCATATGTTCTTATGTGAAGCTGTTGGTGGAAAAAAATCCAAGAGTGCCCGTTTCTGTGCTAGTGGCATCCATTCGGAATACATTTGGTTATATTCTGACTTATTACAAGGCATGGATGGCTAAACGGAAAGCAATGACCTTGTTGTATGGTGATTGGGATCAGTCATATAATGAGCTACCACGTCTGCT